TAGATTTGTGGAGAGGAGTTTATAAAACATGAAATCACATCATGAAGAATAAAGTACAGAATGCACTTACATTAAGATAATGCTTTGTGACAGGGACATTGTGCTATACACCAGAAACTGACACATTGTAATTAACTGTACTTCAATAAAAAAGAAAGATAACACTTTGTATATGACACTAAAAGCATAGGCAACAAAAGCAAAAATCATCTAGTGGGACCACCTGAAACTAAAAAGCTTTTGGACAGCAAAAGAAACAATCAACAAATGGAAAAGCAACCTGTGGGAGAAAATATTTGCAATCTGTATATTTGATAAGGGGTTAATAACTAAAATATATAAAGAACTCATACAACTCAATAGTAAAAACAAACAAAAAAAAACAGGAAACAAATCCAATTTAAAATGTGCAAAAGACCTGAAAAGACATTTTTCCAACAATATATACAGATGATCAACAGGTATATGAAACAGTGCTCTCCATCACTAATCAGCAGGGAAATGCAAATGAAAATCACAATGAGATAGTACCTGACACCTGTTAGGATGTCTATTCTCAAAAAGAAAAGAGATAACAAATGTTGGTGAGGATGTGGAAAAAAAGGGAACCCTGTACAGTGTTGGTGGGAATGTAAATTGGCACAAGCATTGTGGAAAACAGTATGGAAGTTCTCCAAAAACTTAAAAATTGAACTCTCATGTGATCCAGCAATCCCACTTCTGGGTATATACCCAAAGGAAATGAAATCAAGATCTTGAATAGATAACTGAACTTCAAAAAAAAAAAAAGATGATGCTATGACAGAACTTTGGGCCTTACCTCTACATACATCTAGCCAAACTAACAAAGTAGCTGGGTGCTTCCTCTGACTCTAGCAGTAGGAAGATAGGAAAGGGGTACACAGTATTCAATTCTGTGCCTGCCCCTCACTAATTCTGAAGTATTCCTTATTTCTTTTATGTTCTGTGGTCCAAGCAAGCAGGACCTACTCCAGTACATCTGTAGCTTTCATGGAAAACCCAGTTGTTGAGTCCCTTTCCTGAAATAAAAGGTTCTCTAGCTTCAAATCTGAAATATGCAAGGACAGGACATCCTACATGGAAACAGACCCTTTCTTCTAAATATATTAAACACCCTTCTTTGTGTTTCTTTCATAAGCACAAAGCTTTCAAGCCTCTTAGCAGGATGCTCCTTGCTTTTCAAAGAACATTTAGCATTACCAAGGGAAGTTCCAGAAGCATTCGGGGAGCTCTAGGTCCCTATGTCTTTTGTGCCTGATTATTTTTTTAATCATCTCTGAGGGTATAACATGGGAGCCAGATTATCAATTACTGCTCAGGGTGCCTACAAACTTCATGCCTCACAGACCACAACCTCTTGTTATTTGAAAAGATCCCGAGGATAAAAAATGTCTATGACAAAAAATCAAGCAATACTGGTGCTGCACTCATCTATAACAATCCTGCATCAAGTTTGTGAGGTGTCATAACATGGAATGGATTGCCATCTTTTAATATATACATTTTTATTGAAGTCTACTCAGTTTCCAATGTTGTGTCAATTTCTGGTGTACAGCATAATGTTTCAGTCATACATATACATTCATACATTCGTTTTCATATTCTTTTTCACCATAAGTTACAAAAAGATACTGAATATAGTTTCCTGTGCTATACAGTATGAACTTATTGTTTATCTGTTTTATATATAGTAGTATCTGCAAATCTGAAACTCTCAATTTATCCCTTCCCACCCCCTTCCCCCCAGCCCCCAACTCTGTAACCATAAGTTTAGTTTGTTTTCTGTGTCTGTGAGCCTGTTTCTGTTTTGTAAATAAGGATTACCATTTTGATAGGCTCAGTCAATCAGTCAGTCCCTGAACAGATGTTCATTTCTGTCTGCTCAATGTCATGCTCTGTGCTAGATGGGGATAAGGCTGACAGGGCTTCCCTTGTAGACCTCAGGCTAGTAGACGACCCAGGCCCACCAACGATCCATCATGTGAAAGCAGAGGTAGCTGGAGCCAGCACAGTGGCAATCATGCTGGACGAGAGGGGAGGGATATGAGAAGGAAGGCAGGGATGGAATTAAACAGAATTTTCTTCATCAAATCCATCAATTCTTTCCTAAGTGTCACTTTTCTATCTTACTGTCTACATGATCAACAACCCGTTGCCTACTTCTTGAAGAAACTGTAGTAATACTTTATGAAAGTATTGAATATATGAAACTATAGTTCATTCATCCAACAATGATAATTTCTTACAATATTAGAAAGGATATGATTTTAAGCCTTAAGAAAACATTTTTCTTATATTGTGTGAAGAGCAGTGGCATGGATGTAGTCACTGGCTCATTTCTACACCAGAATATTTTTCATACAATTAAGTTCTACTTAAAAATAAAATGCAAGTCTCTTCAGTCGCTGAACTCTCACTCTCTGAATATCTGCTATAATGATCTGCTAATTTACACAAAATTCATTACCCAAACCTACTAAATAAACCTGTTTTAGGCTGCAGACAAGACTATGTTTAAGTCATGCACACTTAGGTAAAAGCATGTACTTTGCTGCTATTGTATCTCAGATATTCTGATAGAACAGTGTCTAGACTTTATGTTGTTTAAATGTGTTATGTTTTATAGATATCCTCTATCAGTAAAAGGTCTTCTAATAAAGCAGAGTAACTAATGAAGGAAATGGGTAAGACGCCCAAGTAAGTGCATGCACTACAAGAACAGCTGGGAATGATAAAGCACATTGAGAATTGACTATGTCTGCTAGTCTGTTTCTGTTCTGTAGAAGAGTTAATTAATGTCCTCTTTTTTCTTTTTTTTAAGGATTCCACATATGAATGATATCATATAGTATTTTTCCTTCTCTTTCTGGCTTACTTCACTTGCAATGACAATCTC